TTGCGTCTCAGTAGTACATCCTGAAGATTTTTTTTGCGCTATCTGATGGTATAATTGCCGTTTCACCATTGCTTGATAAACCCCCTTTTCCCAAGACTTTTTGAAGCATGTCAAAAGAGCAACTTCGGACGATATTTTTCTTCAACTACAAATTGGGTCAATCCGCAGTCGAGACAGCTCGACAAATTAACCAGGTGTGGGGCCCAATAGTGTTGGAGAAAGCACCGTGCGACAATGGTTCGACAAATTTCGTTCTGGAGATTTCAGCCTTGAAGATGAACCTCGTAGCGGTCGACCTAAAGCAATACCTGACGAGGATTTGAAGGCGTTTGTGGAGGCTGACCCATCCCAAACAGTTCGAGAGATTGCAGAAAAGCTAGGCGTTGGCAAATCCACTGTTGCGGATGGTCTGAAACGCATTGGGAAGGTGAAAAAACTCGACAGTGCCCCACAATTTGAGTGACCGGCAGAAATTGGCACGTCTCGAGGTTTCTTCTTCACTGCTTTTGCGCAACAGAAACGACCCGTTTTTGGACCGAATTGTCACCTGTGATGAAAAGTGGATCATGTATGATAACAGGAGACGTTCCGGACAGTGGTTGGATGCCGACGAACCACCGAGGCAATTTCCAAAGCCGAATCCTCACGAAAAAAAGATTATGGTCACAGTGTGGTGGTCATCGGCTGGTGTGATCCACTATAACTTTTTGTCACCAGGCCAAACCATCACAGCAGAGTCCTACTGTGAAGAAATCGACGAAATGTACCGAAAATTGCGTCAGCTGCAGCCAGCACTTGTCAACAGAAAGGGTCCGATTCTTTTGCATGACAACGCCCGCCCACACGTTTCACAAATCACTATCCATAAATTGAACGAATTGGGGGTTGAAGTTCTACCTCACCCATATTCTCCAGACCTTTCACCAACCGACTATCACCTTTTCAAACATTTTCAGAACTTCCTTGCTGGAAAATACTTCATCAATCAGGACCAGGCAAAAAAAGCCTTCGTGGATTCTCGACCACCCAGTTTTTTCTTTGATGGGATTTATCGACTGCTGTCACATTGGCAAAAGTGTGCTGATTCGAACGGTGCTTATTTCGATTGAATCCGATGAGTATTAAGAAAGTTATGATCGTTTAAAGTGAAACACTCAAAACGCTGAGAACTTTCCGGACAACCCAATATTATGAATGCTATGATGGCCTTTGATCTGCGTTTTCAACAGTGGATCTCCACTTCCCGCATAAGGCCGAAAAAATGTGCGAGTCACACAATAAACAATCCGCTTATAGAATAATCGTAAAAAATATTCTCCTTTCTTCTTATAACCTCATCATATTACTCTTTCTTTTGTTCAGCATGTGATGTTGTGCCTCTTGATATTTTTAGGTGAAAACAACTTATCAACCGGCCTGACGTTTCGACTTAATCGTCTTCCAAGAGGCCCAAAAGTGCTTCGTGGAACGATCTGTGCTAGTCCGCCAAGCGCCTATTCCACCCCAACATTTCTGATGACATGGTTGTTACGTAAAAAGGAACCACCCCCTTCTGTTCCCAATACTGAATCAAGCTCTATTTCTTATGAAGAATTCGAAAGGAAACGATCTATCATTATTAGTGGGGTACCTGAATTGCATTCTGATAATCTTTGTGATCCTATTCACTATGATTTCCAGAGTGTTCTTAACATCTTGATTCATTTGAATATCGATTGTTTTCCTGTCTCCGTTTACAGGCTTGGGAAATCGATTCCTGGCAAAAATAGGATACTTAAGGTAGTCTTACCATGTTCCAATTTTCAAAAATTAGCGGTTAAAAGGACTTTCCATCTCCGCTCTTTCCCCGGAAGGGTTTGATCTCTAATAGAGAAAAGGCGAAATATTTCGCTGAGGTTTTTGAAGAAGATTTTATGAGGAACTGTGATCGCGAGAGACATACTGATCTTACCCGGATCCTTTTCCTTCTATGCCTGATTCACATTGGTTTAGCGATCAAGAGTTATTCGATGTTCTCTCAAAATGGAAATCTTGTTCGTCTCTTACCCCGGATGGGGTTCCTTTCCATTTCGTCAAAAGGATCTTACCCTCTATCATCGGTCCTCTCAAATACATTTTTAATTTATGCTTGTTCCGAGCTGAGGTACCGGATAGGTGGAGACGCTCGTACGTTATACCTGTTCCCCAAAAAGCCCCCCCGTAGTAACCCAAGCAATTATAGGCCTGTCAGCATAACTTCAGTTTTCTGCAGAGCGTTCGAAAAAATAATAAAGAGGGTCATCATTGATCATTTGGAAAATAACAATGTTTTACCGGATTGTCAGCATGGATTTAGAAAAAACAAGTCCACAGTTACACAAATGATTGAGTGCCTAAATGACTGGACGGCAGCTCTGGACAATAAAAAGGATGTTGATGTGATTTATTTTGACTTTTCCAAAGCGTTTGATAAGGTAAACCATGCAAAGCTCTTGGCAAAGCTGCACCACGTTGGGATTCATCAACGTATAATTTCGTGGATTGAATCCTTTCTTCAGGATCGCTCATTTCAAGTTCACATTAAGGGAACCTTCTCCAGTGTCAGATGCTCCCAGCGGTGTCCCGCAGGGGAGCGTTCTGTCACCGGTGCTTTTCTGCATCTACACCTATGACCTTCCACACCTGGTGGAGGCATTGGGAGTTACATGTAAAATGTTTGCCGATGATGTCAAAATTTATAAGCCCGTAGCAGACACTGCAGATACTACTAGAATCCAAGTAGCTATTGATGCAGTCCTCAACTGGTCTTACTTGTGGGGACTGCCCTTGGCCTCGGATAAAACATCGGTCCTCCGGTTAGGTAGGTCTGTATCTCACAATGATTACTGCTTAGGAAGCTCGGTTTTGCATAATGTTAACCAAGTCAGAGATTTGGGTTTCATTATTGACTATAAATTGAACTTTGAATCTCATTGCTCTACCATTGCGAAGAGAGCTGAATTTAAGCTTTTTCAACTTTTCAGATGCTTGTATACCAAGGATCCTTGTGTTCTTATCAGAGCCTATAAAACATATGTTCGCTCTATTCTAGAATACGGATCCATGGTCTTTTTTCCTCATTCGAAAAAGTCCATTCACCGGCTGGAAACTATTCAAAATAGTTTCACCAGAAAAGTTTTGATTCGTGCTTTGGGGTTCAATTATAATGCTATACCAAGGGGGGTCATCAGGAACAAGATGCTTGGGCTTGACTCTCTTTTATGCCGGCGAAAGAAACTAGATTTGTTGATGGTGTTCAAAATACTGACGGGCAAAGTGTCTATTGAATAGGCGTGATCTTTTCACTCTACTCCCCTCTCTTACCAGAGGAGCTAAATCCAAACTATCTGTGCCCAGGGCGAGGACAAGCGTTAGATCTAATTTCTTTTCAGTGCGAGCTTCCGTAGAGTTTACAAAGCTTATTAAAAAGTTCCCTATGCCCAACAATATTGCCCGACTTAAGCATCTCTTGCACAAGTTCTACGTTTGAGGACGCTCCGCTTCTTCCTCCATTCCCGATTATAGTTTCCTTGAGGCTGACAGATAGCCCCAACCTTTTCCATGTTCTCTTTTTTTTTGTTACATCGTTAGTTTTACTTACAGTTGTTGTTCTCCTTTATGGTTTTATGGTGTTGCGCATTCCTTTTTATGGTTGTGGTGTTTACTTTTCTACCTCATGTATCTAGCGTACATGCAATAAATAGAAATAGAAAAGAGAAATAGAACCCACGCAAAGATTTCAGGCAGCACGAAGGGAACGCCCATCCTGTTCCACCATAGATGCCCAATAACTCGCTATCCCACAAGTTAACCCGTAGCGAATCGACCTATCAATAGGTGGAGATGCACGTCACAATGGTAACTTCATAGCTCGCAGTGCGGTAAAGGCAGAGGTCACTGGAAATTGGTGAGAGGCGTTCGCCTCGGTTGTTTATAAGATTTATAAAATGCACAATGTGTGCGTGAGAAGTAGATGCGGTTGGGAAAGCATGAGAGGTGTTTGGGGTCTTGGGAATCCTCGCATGAACATCGAGACGAGCATATGTCAATCCCAATGACCTTCTACCAGTGCTACGTGCCTCTCCATCTTTCGATACGTGTAAATAGGAGCTATAGGTGCCGCTACTGGTCACCTTATGGACAACGGATTACTCTGCGTCAAACAGAAGCGTTTCTTTCGCGAGATTATCCGTTGGGTTAAAGTTATTTCATCGGAAATGCTGGAAGGGATCGATGGCTTGATGGATGAGTGCACATCTTTTAATTCGAAACACTTCCAAGTCCCTGAAGAAGACGATTGAGTTGGAACGTCAGGCCGATAGAATTGTTCCCCTGAAATAACAGCACTACAGGCTCCAAAGGCACAGCATTACATACTGAGCAATCGTGAGCGAACTTCGCGAGACATTGCTCTCCTTTCAGTTTTATCGTGTCCTTCAAGATGGCCAAATTGACTTTCAGAGTACAGTGGAGCTAATGAGAGGGAGATGATTCCAATAATGAAAAGAAGTGTCAGAATATGTCACGAAAAGTTATTTCTATTTCACCGGGGTGTAACCTTGAATATTTAGTCCATCAAGGGAGTAAGGAAAATTAAGGACAATATCAGTAATAGGCTCTAAAAAGCCGGAACTCCTCTTCAACAGGGAACATCTATTTAGGCTCTCTGATGGCTGCTGATTTAGGAGCGGGGAGTTAGGAGCTGGATATAGGGGACATTTCAGAGGGCGAAAATCATCTATATAAATAGGCTTCTGAGAGGTCAAAGACGATTCCACCGCTAACAACTAGAATGGACTTTCCAACGCGAATTCCAGAGTAATAATGCACCCTGTCTGGAATCTCTTTCAGTAACGTTTATACTACGCACAACTTAGTCATCGTGCTCACTGTCTTTGGCGATATTTTATTCTTTTATCTCAGAACTATCAGTTCTTTTTCTGCGGACCTCACTTGTCGGAGCTACCGATTCTAACAAGAATTTGCAGAACGCCTTTGCAAAACCTCTCGACTCTGATGAGAAAATACCTATCGTCACTGCGAGACAGGATTTGAAAAGTGCCGTGAAAAACGCAAGCGCGCTGGGAAAGGCGCAAGAGGGCTCGCCTGAAAAAGTGAAAAACGCCAGCTCTGACGAAAAAGTGAAAAAGGTCGGCTCACAGGTGAAGGCGAGAGACGCCAGCTCTGACGAAAAAGTGAAGAAGGTCGGCTCACAGGTGAAGGCGAGAGACGCCAGCTCTGACAAGAAAAGTGAAGAAGGTCGGCTCACAGGTGAAGGCGAGAGAAACCAGCTCTGACAAAAAAGTGAAGAAGGTCGGCTCACAGGTGAAGGCAAGAGACGTCAGCTCTGACGAGAAGGCGAGCGGAGCCAATTCAAAAGAAAAGCTGAGTAAAGAAACCTCGGATGAGAAAATAAAGAAGAGCAGTTCTCAGACAAAGGCAAAAGTAATTCCAAGAAAGAATGCTCCAAAAAAAGCGAGTTCGGATGAGGACGTCGAGTACAAAAAATCTGAACTGAAAACAAACAAACTCAAACTCAGTCCAGCAGAAGTTAACTAGGGTGAGCAGCTACATTTTGCTCAAGTGACGGTATTTAATTGACAATTTATTAGTTTTATTGCCCACGCAAATCGGCCTAAATTTCAGTTCCACTCGTGCAGAAGTCGATGTCATACATTGATATCTCGCGTAACATTCTTCATCAGAGCGAAAACTTGTTTGTCGAACGACTGCTCGCGTCGAATAAAGGAGTGGCTCTGATAATTTCAACACATGTTTGTAAACGATTTAAACGGACACAATCGCAGCCTCGACATCGATGAGCTGTTGAAATTTAAACGCGTTCTTGTTGAGACCTGGTGAATGCGTTATACAAAATGCTAGAGGAACATAGCTAATTTCTTTTTTTGCGTGACGTCAACAAGGTCATTAATTAGATGGTATTCTTCGCGCCATCGTTGAGTCTCAGAGCAACTTTTATCACCTGCGGACGTTTCGACCACATCGTCAGAGGAATCCCCAGAGCAGTGTTTGTCCTCTGAACCGTCAAGCACTTCTTATCTCTAGTTTTCCCGGAGGAATATCACGAAACAACTGGTATTACCCGAAGTATGGGCCAAATGAGGCCATTTTACAAATTCTTGGCAGTATATGTGATGCACACTGTGCCATCTTCATGTACTGCCTCAGGAATTGCACGTCTCACCGATTACATTACAAGCTTGGAATGTAGTGAACGCGGTAAGTAATGATTCATAAAGCGGAGCGCTCAATTCAAGTGTTTATCATAGGATTTATGGGGATTTCAACGTGCTTCAAGCTTTTTTCGACCTAGGTCTTGTACAACATGCGATATGAGGTTCCTACCGAATAGCCTTTTACTCATTCATGATTCTCGCTGGAGACCCTGGAATGAACACTCGAATTGTGCGCTCATTCATATCAACTAATTTGCCATTTCGACCTTGAGAACAGGTGAAGTTCTTTGATCTCGGAAAACACTTATTTGTTTGTGGCGTCACGTCAAACAGGTTTCTAAGGTTTCTTCCTAGCACACCTCGGAAGAATCGAGTTATTGCTTCACCAGCGGGGTTGCCCAGCTACGTAGGCGCTCTTCGCTCTACGTCACGGCACGGCAGAGCGGGCCTCGCTTCAACATTCATCTTCCTTTAGGCGAGTTAAAACGCCTAAAATGTACCAAATGGCACTGAGAATTTTTTAACGCAAATAACGGAAAATAGCTTGGAGATAGCTTCACCAGTCGGATCGCCCGGCTGGCGCCGAGCTCTCCTCCTTCTCTTTAGCTCGGCTTCGCCGAGCTGGCCTGGCTTCGCCAGGCGCGCTCCATAATGGGGAACGGAACTTTTTAATCACTGGATTGCTCATCCAGCCTATTGGTCCAGTCATGTAAGATAGAGCAACTAGGATCTTGCACTCCTTAGCAAACGCTTATACTTGCGGTCCGCGCCATAACGCCCATACAACACATAGACCTATAGATATAGATACAAAGTGCAGTCGATCAATATAGCGCTCGCTGAAGTATAAATAATTTTAGGTAATTAATTCCCTTATTATTCTTTAATTAATTTTTATTTCAGTAATCGAAAGTTTGAAAGAAAAAAATTTTCAAAACTTCCCTGACTTTCCTGTTAATGAATATGGTGACCTTCTCTTCTATAGCCCCTTATCGAATCTTATCAACTGATAACACTTGTCACCTACCAATAGTGTTCCCGTCACACCCCGTACATCACTTCTTGAAATCATTGTCTCACTGCTACTGGGACAGGCGCTATGAATTTCGTGACACACAGACAGACGCACACACACACACGGACAGACATACTTAGCGAATTATGTAGAGTAGGATAATTCTCGACTTTTAACCGCGAGAGCTCTGCATTAATGACCACAGCTGTGATATGAGAATGTAAGAGTTGAAATACTCCGCTCGAGCAGTGTAGCATACAGAGCCTTCTCATCTCCAAATGCACAACTCTGCAACCATTGGCAGCAGTGAAAAACAGAACCCCACGTTGCCCCCATTCATGTCGAACTGTGCGTCAAGGTCCCTGCTGCTAAAGGATCTTCGAATTTCGGCGGTGTGAAATCGATACCGCATCAAAAAGGCACGATGGCTCCAATGCTCGCTATCAGTCCTTCGGCTGTCATCCCTTTCTGTCACCCAAATTTAGTGTTCCCACCCCGCCGCCTACATGACCTATCGGTACTGACTTCCTATACTATTGCTACGACCCGCGCTATGCATTTGACGACTTTCCTCTTCTACAGCCTCTTATCGGATCTTATCAATGTGATAACCTTCTGTCACCCACCAATGTGTTCCCGTCCCACTGCCTACATAACCTGTTGGAAATGACTTCCTACTATTGTTGCTATAATTTTGCAGACGAACCAAACATACATACAAACCGACACACAAAGTAACCTGTTAATAGAATAGAAAGATTCTCATAAATTGATATGACTGGCTGCACCTGTCATCAAAGTCCCTATCACTGAACTTGGAAGCTTGGTAGTGTGAAAGTTCCAACATCTTGACGTTGCACAGGGGCCTTCGTGTAATCGCCAACAGCCTTATCCCTCTGTACCTTCAGGTTCCCCATTCTTTTAGGACTTCGATCTCCATTTCCTCACACATCATCCCTAAAAATACGACAGCGGATCAAGCGAAATTTTGTGACTGCTGTTTTTCCCGCTTCAGAATATAACGCAGTGAAAACGGCCTTCTAGCTATTCATATGAACTGAGATTATCTGTCACCCATCATCAATCCCGCCTATCATTGAATCTTTACAAGTTGGTGGTCTAAAGCCTTTACTATCTTGTACAGCGATAACGACTGCAACGTCGCCTATCAGCCCGTATCAGTCTTATGAACTTTTGTCACCCACTGTTGGTATCCCCTACTTGCCGGAATCAACGCTTAGCTGATGCTGTAACCCACGCTGGAAATAAGGTGATACCCTTCTAACGCCTCTTATCGACTCTTATCAGCAGCTTACAAATCTTGCCACCCAGCAATACTGTTCATGTCACACCTAGCTGATGCTGTCACCTGTGTTATGAATGTGGTAACCTTCTCCTTCTAACGCTTCTTATCGAATCTTGTCACTGCCAGCACTTCCTATTACCCACCAATAATGTTACTGTCCCATATCCTGATCGTATCTTGAAACACGCTCAATCATTGCCGGGACCGTCGCTATGAGTTTCTGACGAATAGACAGTCACACACACACACACACACACACACACACACACACACACACACACACACACACACACACACACACACACACACACACACACACACACACACACATACTTAGCGATTTATATACCATTTTCACTTTAAATCGGACACTTTTCAAACCAAATCGGACACTTTTCAAACACTTTTTGAATCAAATCGGACACACCCCTTACAATGGGCAGTTGAGAACTAGACCACACTAGGTACTGCTGCAAGCCCCGTCCCAACACCCCCCCACTTCTTAGCGCGGCCGTTGTTTCCAAACGTTTTATGAATTCTGCTTCTTCAAGTTTTTTCACTTTTGCTACTTGAACACATTTAACTGACACGTTGCACACATTTAACTGAGTAGGTTTGCTACCGACACATATATGACTCTGCCCACTTCACAATGAAGTGACGTAAACTTTATAACTGTATTCGACGTCGTTTTTTTCACATTCAATCTTCACAAAACGAATATAGCCATGAATTTACACACTAGCACACTAAGCCCCGCCCTCTGACCACGCCCACTTTCGTTTTTCGCGGAATTCGGTTCCCCCGGAACAAGGTTTCCTTTTTCTCTGGTCTTTCCCTTTTTTCATTCTATGTGACGGGAGAGGCCAGAACCTGCTAATACGGTCACTAGCTTCATCATTCGTCATTTTTGAAAAGTGGGCGGGGCTTCTACAAAGTGTGCTGAGCTTCCAATATTGGGCGGGGCCGCTTGTCACAGCCCAAAGAGTGAATTCGGAAGAAAAATCAAAATTCCGAGAAAAACGAGAGTGGTCGTGGTCGGAGCGGAGGGGCTATTGTGTGCTAGTGTGTAAATGCACGGCTATATTCGTTTTGTGAAGATTGAATGTGAAAGATGACGTCGAAAAAAGTTATAAAAATTCAGAACTTACGTCACTTCATTGTGAAGTGGGCGGAGTCATATATGTGTCGGTGGCAAACCTATTTAGTTAAATGTGTGTGTCAAGTAGCAAAAGTGAAAAAAATTTGAAGGAGCAGAATTCATAAAACATTTGGAAACAACGGCCGCGCCAAGAAGGGGGCGGGGGGTTGGGGCGGGGCTTGCAGCAGTACCTAGTGTGGTCTAGTTCTTAACTGCACATTGTAAGAGGGTGTGTCCGATTTGATTTGAAAAGTGTCCGATTTGATTTGAAAAGTGTCCGATTTGGTTTGAAAAGTGTCCGATTTGGTTTGAAAAGTGTCCGATTTGAAGTGAAAATGGTATATACCATTTTCACTTTGAATTCACCCTTTTTCAAACCAAATTCACCCTTTTTCAAACCAAATTCACCCTTTTTCAAACCAAATTCACCCTTTTTCAAACCAAATTCACCCCTTTTCAAACCAAATTCACCCTCACTTTTCACATCAAATTAACCACTTATAAGGGGCATCATCAAGCAGATCACGCCAGACATCACTGCGAGCCCCGCCCGACGGCCACGCCCACTTGTCAGCGCGGACATAGATTCTCAAATCTTGTTTCATAACTTCTGCTTTTGCTGTTTCCCACAAACACTTTGACTGGAAACGACCGGGCATTGACACATGGCCGACTCCGCCCATTTCTAAAGGGTTTGGCAATCTAGGCTGACCACGCCCACTTGCTTTTCGCGGACGTTCTATATTTTTTCAAAATTTTTCATTTTAGGGCCGCTGCGTGAAGCCCCGCCCACTGTGAGAGGCTTCGCCCACTTTGTAGAAGCCACGTCCACTTTTCAAAAATGGTGCAGCCGGCAGTATAGAGACTTGGCTTGCATGCTAGGGTCTCGTTCGTCACTCGGAACAAGAAAATCCGGCAAAGTTTATTCCGAATGATCAGCAATACCCTAGCATGCAAGCCAAGGCTCTATACTGCCGATCTGCACCATTTTTGAAAAGTGGGCAGGGCCTCTCCAAAGTGGGCGGAGCGGGCTTCACGCGGCAGCCCCAAAATGAGAAATTTTGGGAAATATAGGAAGTCCGCGAAAAGTAAGTGGGCGTGGTCAGCCTAGATTGCCCTTTAGAAAATGGGCGGAGTCGGCCATGTGTCAATGCCCGGTCGTT